AAGGCATGATATACTTTGAATTGATTAACGCTGTCCTTTACTAAAAACAAAAGAAAGTTTTATTCTCAATTTTCCTCTTCTTTAAAGCTTACATATCCAGGATCTAGACAGGTTAATAATGTACGTACCACAAAATTCACAATGATTTCCAGCATCTAGCCAGGGTAATAATGTATGTACCACAAAATTCACAATGAGATGAATTTTGATTGTTTACATTTGTCTCACCCAATTACTGGAAATTCTCTTAGAGATGGTGGTAGGTTAATACCAGAAATTACATGAGTAGAATCCGGATTAAAATCAATAAAATGGAGGTTCAAATTCCCATTCTGATATGAAGCGTATTGACTTTGGACTGGCTACTATCTCTGACCTATACCATTTCACTTTGAAGATGAAATGTTGTGGGAGAACTGCCTTTTGTTCTAGGGCAAACTGGCGGTCCATGGGCCAAATGCATCATGTGCAGACCATACCTATCCCAGCTCCGCGAAGGGAAAAATGTCATGATACATCACATGATGGCAATGTGACACTGCAAATTTGACACCCGTGTTCCAGAGGTGGTATTGAGCAGGTTCTGACCAGTTCTGGAGAATCGGTAGTGGAAATTTTGAGTAGTTTGGAGAACTGGCAAATACCAGATCTGACTGGAGATTTTACAGTATCCTTCCCCTGCCACGTGCACCAATCCACGCCCACAGAACTGGTAGTGAAAAAATTTGAATCCCACCACTGTCGTATTCTAGGGAAATGAACTGACCTTTTCATTTTGAAAAGTAGCAATGTTTTTGCTCCTTGCTACTCCTACGTGGCTATGTTTAGAATCATAGTCAGATATATTGTACAGATAATCCTTGACTTCCAATAGATAATTTAGTGACCATTAAAAGTTACAATGGCACTGAAAAAAGTGACTTATGACCATTTTTCTCACTTACAACCCTCACAGCATCCCCATTGACATTTGATTGACATTCGGATGCTTGGTAACGCGTTCATATTTATGATGGTTGCAATGTTCCAGGGTCATGTAAATACCTTTTGCAATCTTCTGACAAGCAAAGTGAATGGGGAAGCCAGATTCACTTAATAACCATGTTATTAACTTAACAACTGCCATGATTCACTTAACAAATGTGGTAAGAAAAGGTGTAAAATGGGACAAAACTTACTTAACAAATTTCTCACTTAGCAAAATACAATTTGGGCTTAATTGTGGTCATAAGTTGAAGACTATCTGTTATTATCTCTGATTTCATTCCAGAAAGATGAAATAATGACACATGAATGAATAGTGGGGCTTTCATAAACCTTTTACAATTCCCAGTACAGCCATATCCTTCTAATGCAGCAATTATAATCTCCTACAGTGGTTATATAATTTTTTTCTGGCTTATTTTAAAAGCTATTTTCATGTGTCAAGTATGACATCCATTTAAAGGAAATCCAACTGAGAATTAACTAAGGTGCACTGTTTGGGAATAAAACCATTCAGTGTTTCCCGTCTTTGAGATCCATGCACTATTTCCTGGCACCTGGATAGGAAATGCAATTAAAAAAAAACAAAGCAACAAGATCCAGATTGGAATGTTTCTAAAGTAAAGTTTGATTCTTTCCCAAAATGTGTTGCAATTGGCATTGCATTTTCTTTGTAAAAATCAGTGTAGAGAACTTTCAAATAAGTCAATATGTGATTAGTATATATAGTACCATTTTAAATAGCTTTTTAAGGGATTATTCTTATTGGATTACTTTTCAGCCAGTCTAGAATAAACAAACTAGACCAAGTACAAATGATTATTAAAGTGAATTGTTCAACTTGAGTGAAGATTTTTTGCAGAATCCCCAAAAGGACACCCAACTCAATCCTTTACTCTGAAGCAAGTCCAGTTAAGCAAGAGCAGAACCAAAGTAAGTATATAAATACTCAACTATAATCTTAGTTTGATATTCTAAAAACTAGAACAATGATCAACTGCCCCACAAAAAATAGCTACATAGTTGATTAAAGATTGTAAAGAATTTGTAGAACAACTTCACCCTTCAGTGCTTGTGTTGGTTGTCTGCCATTTACATTGTTTTGCAAAACTGGCATGCATTTCAAGTTGAGATCCATCCCATTGTAAGTAACTAATGCCCAGAGGGCGAATTTAACTAAAAGAGAGATCTCTTTCTTCTCAAACCTTGCATAAGAAGCAAGCAGGTACTACTATAACTACAGAGGACTCTACCAAAAGAATTGTCACATTCCACAGGCCAGTAAAATTCCATTGATAGCATCTTGTTCCAAGCCATTTTTGAGAAGTGGTATCTATGAAAAATAACTTCACTCAATAAATCAAATATAAAAACTGCACGTCAAAGTCTCCTTAACATGTTCAAATCATTAAGAAATGCTAGCAGCTGAGAAACTAGATAAAGCATTTATCTAGTTTCTCAACTTCTGAAGTTTGCTGATGATACAACAGTGATTGGTTTCACTCGAGACAATGATGAATCTGCATACAGACGGGAGGTTGAATAACTAGCCTTGTGGTGTGACAAGAACAATCTGGAACTGAACATACTCAAAACCATAGAAGTAATGTTACACTTTAGTAGAAACCCTCCTATACTACCACCTCTTACAATACTAGACAACACAGTATCAACAGTAGAGAACTTCAAATTTCTAGGTTCTATTATATCACATGACCTAAAATGGACACCTAAGATCAAAAACGTCATCAAAAAGGCACAATGTTCTTTCTGTGCCAACTCAGAAAGCTCAAACTGCCCAAGGAGCTGCTGATTCAGTTCTGCAGAGGAATTATTGAGTCTGTCATCTGCATCTCCATAGCTATCTGGTTTGGTTCTGCAACAGACTTCAATGGATAATTAGGACTGCAGAAAAAACAATCACTACCAACCTGCTTTCCATCAAGGACCTGTATCCTGCATGAGTCAAAAAAAGGGCTGTGAAAATATTTACAGATCCCTCACATCCTGGACATAAACCGTTTCACTCCTTCCCTCAAAACAACGCTATAGAGCACTGCACACCAGAACAACTAGACACAAGAACAGTTTTTCCCCGAACGCCATCGCTCTACTAAACAAATAGTTCGCTCAACACTGTCCAACTATTTACAAAGACTGCACTACTATTACTATTCATCTTATCAACCCTTATCACCCATCCCCCCACTTGTGACTGTATGACTGTAACTTTGTAGCTTGTATCTTTACGATTTATATTGACTGTTTCCCAGTATGTGATTTCTTATTTGTACTCTATTTTATTAAGTGTTCTACCTTATGATTTTTGACTCTTGACGAATGTATTTTTTCTTTTTATGTACACTGAGAGCATATGCACCAAGACAATTCCCTTGGCCAATAAAGAATTCATTCATTCGTTTCTTTTACCGTTTATGTAATATTCACAGACATAACTGTTTGTTACATTTGTAACATCCAGGTTTTCACTAGGAGCTCAAAATGATTTACACTGGGATGTCTTTTTGGATCATCCCTGCAACAACCCAACACAGTAAGTTGATCTGACAGAGGAATTGTCCGAAAGTCCCCCAGCACAGAGGTCACCAACCTTTTGGACCTCAGGGACCACCAAACTCATACTTTTAAATCCCGCGGACCACTAATATGAATTTTGACTGACAGTGGCTGCAGGAAAAAAGTCTGCAGGAAAATTCCCCACCGTTTTTCTACCAATTGATCATTCTTTATTTGAGATCGCAGGATACCGTCTCCAACTCCGTTCTCAGGGGCGAGAGAGAGAGAGAGAGAGAGAGAGAGAGACTTTTGGCTTCATGCAAGGAAAGCAGCAGAAACGGAAGTCTTTCTTTCTCTCCCCCAAACTCCGCTAGAAATGAGTCTTTGCTGGTACAGACTCTTGGAGCAGGATGCCTTGCAGGGTCCCAAAGACTCATTTCTGGGAATTTGGGTGAGAGAAAGAAAGACTTTTGCTGCTTTCTTTGCAGAAGAAAGAAGCGGAAAGAAGCAGGCCGGTGGTCAGGCGAGGTGCGTGGGGCACATGGGGCAAGTTCTCCCCTCCCTTTCCCGCCTCCCCTCACTACCTCATGTTGTTCGCAGTGCAAGCAATGCAAGCCTTGTGTTCCCGTGGGCCATGTGGGCAGTGCAGCCTGGTGTTCCCGCACAGCCTAGATTAATTGCTTTGGGGGGGGGTGTTTTGGGGGTGATATTTCTCTGCAGACCAAAATTTTCTCATGGACCACCAGTGGTCCCCAGCCCACTGGTTGGTAACCACTGCCCCAGCAAATTCTCATGGCTGAACCCAGGCCTACCCCATCCTATTTCACACTTTAATCCTGACCATAGGGCTGAGTGATGCGATTCTGTTGCGAAGCACTATCATGTCTCTCAAAACTCCATATATAAGAGGCCAGGGATTGACTGGGTGAAATGAAATGACTGAGTGAAATGACCCTTCGAATTTTGGGTGGTAACCGTGGATAAAGAGTTGGGAAGCTGCCCTCCATCCGCTACATTAATCTTCTGCCATCAGGTGTGGCGACAGGTGCTTTAGGGTGACCTTGGGAATATAATGGAGAGATACCTATTCTTTCTGAACAGAACCATGTAAAGTTGCAGAGTTTTCTGTTGCTTGCGCACAATTGGGCTCGTCAGGCAGAAGAACACCCCGCCCCCTCCCCGCCCCGCAATCCAGGGCATCTGCTGCATGCGTGGAATTGCATCCGTGCAAGGTTGTCAGGCAGCAAGCAACCGCTGTCAAGCACGTCTGTGTGCACGCACACCCTTTACATACAATATAAACAACCTTTCGCAGGAATTCGGAAGGCGCAGACGTGCCTTTCAGAGGCTTTCGGTCCCGGAGGGCACGGCCGTCGACGGGTGGCTCCGTTCCTCCTTCAACGTCCCCCCGGGGCCTGCCTCCTGCTTCCTCTGACCTCCATCCTCCGCCGCGCTCTGCAGCCAGCCAGTTCTCGGGGGCCGAGGGCGCGGGAAGCACGAGGTGTGTCGCTGGAGCTCCAAAGCCTGCGAACTTTCCGTCTTGATTGGCTCAACCTCACAAGCGACTCCCCCGCGGGGCTCGGCAGAAGCCGCGCTGCCTCCAACAGGAGCGGCGCTCCCTCCTCCTCCTCCACCAGACCGCCCCGCTCCTCTCGGCCAGTCAGAGGGCGCAGCCCCGAGGCTCAGCCGCCGCCGCCGCATCATGCAGCCGCCGCCGGCTCCCGCTGCTGCCCTCTTGCTCGTCCTGCTGGCTGCGGACTCCTCGCAGAGTGAGTAGTGGGGCTTCCTCCCCCGGGCCGCTTCCTCCTCTTCCCCCTCCACCCCACCCGAGGAAGGAAGCCCCCTCTCCGCTGCCCTTCCTCGGAGCGGCGGCGGAGTTCGCCCTCTCCCCCTAAACGGATGGGAGACGCGCATTAACCCCCCAAAGCCCACGCGGATAACACCGCGTTTGCGTTTCTGTGGGCCGGGAAAGAGCCCGCCGACAGACGCTTCGGCGCTCTCCGGCTTTTGCCTCTTAAGGTCGGGGCGTCCTAAAGCCTTTTTCCCACGGGCGACCAGCCGGCAGCTTCCCGTCCACGGCACCTGCCTCGTGGTGCTACTTTTCGGCCAAAGGTTCTCGGTCTCCCCGCTCCCAGACTCAATTTTGTTTCCCGGTCGCCTTTCCGCTTTTCTCTTTTGCCCTCCAAAGGGGGTCGGTGGCGACCTTCGGTCTCCCTTGCTCTTTGGGGCTTCCGCAGCTTTGTTCTCGGCAGCGGCCGGGCAAGGGGCCGCGGGGGATGTCCTTGTTTTGCGAGGTAAAACGGCGGTGGCGCCGCGCCGGCGGCATTGTTTGGTTTTCTCCCGGGGGGGGGCGGAAAGGGGGGGGGGGGGGGGGGGAAGCCGCGGAGCTGAAGATGGAACCCAGAGCCGGAGGGTTTGCAAGCGGCCCGAGCATGTCACGTAGAGTGGAGTTTGTGAGGGCCCCGGCAGGGGACTCTTAGGAAAAGGGAAATGTCCGCGCGCGCTTGCCCTGAGGGCGAGGGAGGGAGCCCGGCGACTTGGCTGGGGAGGCGCGCGTCCTTCTTCCAAGGGAGCCCGGGATTAATGGCTTCCCTCTTCCCTCCCCCCTATTTCTTTGGGGGCTCCTCCAGCCGTGGTGTTCTACAAAGGTCGGGAGGAGGCTTCTCAGTTCCTTCGCCAGAGGCACCGCCGAGCCTACCAGATCTTCGAGGAGACCAAGCAAGGCCATCTGGAGAGAGAGTGCGTGGAGGAATTCTGCAACCGGGAGGAAGCCCGAGAAGTGTTTGAGAACGACCCTGAGACGGTGAGAAAAGTCCAAAAAAGTGTCGGGGGTCATTAACTTTATTTTAAAAAGGGCGGGTGGGGGAAGAAGAATAGTCTGAAGTCATCTTGAAGCATCAGAATGGGAATGAGGGTGCCAGGTGTTTGCACAGCTGGAGAAGTTGCTTGGGAAGAGTCATTATTAGATAAATAACTTAAACCACGCCCTTCTCTTGACAAATCTGTTCTATTTGGATTGTGAGGCCAAGCAAACAAGAATAGGGAAGTGAGTAGCTTGTATGGAGCTAAGTCAGGAACCCTCTCCTAGAAAGGATCCCCTGGGTATCAGTGTTTGTGCGAGCACATGCTTTCTTTTGTGGACAAGTTAAATCCTACTACAGACTAAATACATCTAGAATTGGGGTTATTAGATAACTAAGGAGAATTTGCAATTTGCACAGCTCAATTTGAATATTTCTTTTGGTGCCTGTCAGATTTTTTTTTATTGATTGCAAGCTAGGTTTTATTGAATAAATCAGCTAAATAAACAATATAAAACCATCTTATTTAGAAGAGTATTCAATATATTTATTGAATTAGAAGATTATGCTAACTTGGATCAGCGGTGCTACTGGTATTGGTTGATAAATGTAAACTCATATCACCAAATGAACCTTTTTAAAGAAATTACTGTGTTTTGAGAGTGAATGACAATTACCTAAATCTACAGCTGTTTCTTGCTAGAAGTCTCAACAGCGTAAAAGTAATTATAAATAATTTTAAATTAAATAAAACATACTTCATTTTATACATTCTAGTTTTCTGATGCTTGCAACTTTGGGGTGTACTATTCTGAAAACACTCATTTATAAACAAGGATTGTCTGATAGTTAGGGAATAAATGTTTTGAGAGAACTAGTGATTTTTACACAGGGTTGTATTCCTATTAATAATTTGAATGGGTGGACAGGTTGAGAGTTTTGTAGGTCAAAAAGTACTGAGAATGAGAGGAACTTGGATTTTTTTCCTCTTAGAAGACTTTATTTTTATATCTAAGGAAAAACATGTCTTAACATATTCCCTGACTAAGTTTGCAGCATGGTGTACTGAACTCTTTCCAGCCTAGTGAATAGTTGTAAAGTAGTAGCAAATTTTGGTTTGTGATATCAGTCTTAAACTTTTAGCCTTTAGCCTCAGATAAAGTCAAGAATATGTTTGGGAAGAACAAAAATGAACAAGATGTTCTCCAATTCTCTGTCATTTTAGTTTATAAACAGTAAACAGTAAATATCCAGCATTGGATATTTAGGTTGCTTACATATGTTTTCATAGATTTGAACTCATTAAAAATTGTTCCTTTTAAATACCAATGTTAAATGTATTCACATTTAATCAATATAAGCTTTGCTGAAATAATTTTTTACAAGTTTGTAGCCATGGTTCATAGATGGATGGAGAATATCCCCCAAAGTGAAAAACCTAATCTAAGGTCACCAGCGGGTTATATATAAAGTTTCAGTAAAATTTATTTTTAATCCAAAAATGAGCCTGCAGAAAAAGTATGTGACTAAATTGTATTATTTCATTGAAAAAAGGGAACAAATGTTTTATATTCTGCAATGTCATTTATCTAAAGCTTTACTATGGAATGTTTGATTTTCTGTGACAATTTTTTTTTAAAAATAAATGCTGTTTTATGTTTGTGTTCTTAATTTCCTCCACTTTTGAAAAATCTCTGAAGTTTTGTATAGTTTATAAAAATGAATGTAGTGAAAAAAAAGTAATGGTTTCCTGAGGAAGAAGAAGAAGAAAGGGTGGTGGCAGGGAGAGATAAACTATCTTTCAAATATGGTAGTCATACCAACGCATGTAGCATACCTGAAGCAATAGTGATTTTGTCTAATGCAAATAGATCTCTGTTTGCATAATGGGATTTCCTTTTGTTCCCCATCTCTTCTGCCCTGCATTGTATATCTTCTAGCTATAAGAGATTAGCAATAGGCAGGTTTCATGCATAAAACTAGACCAATAAGACTATTTGCCTAAAAAGGATCTTGGAATTCCATGTAATTATCGCAACACTAACCTTGTTGAATACTAGATAGGAACTGTCCTTGGAAGGTCACAAACAATATCAAGATAAAACTGGTGGAAATATACTGGAATTATTTCCCGTATCTCTGAACTTGGACATTCTATTAGTCATTTGAATTTTAGTCACTATTGATAGCTACATTCATAGTAGAAAAATCTATTAAAACAATAGTACAATTCTATTGGTAATCTTCTATCAGGTAAAATTTATTCACTTAAGTTAGGTTATTATTTTAAAAATAATTTGATACATGGTGCCCTAGACATAAAAAATATTGCTGGGATGTTTGTAGTATAAGCACTTTAATATCAGAGCAAGCATGGTTATTTCGTTTCTCTCAATCAGGTTTGTGGATGATTTTCAAATGTGGTTTGATAAAGAGATGAGCAATACAATAATTCCTAAGATCTCCTGGGGACCTTCTTTAGTTTCCCTAAGGTCCAACTGTATGGTCAAAAAGAAAGAGATCATGCTGTCATTAATAGAATGAATTTAAACTGGTCATTGATAACAATAGAAGTTAATGATCTACAGTAGATTGCTGGGACATGGAGAAAGATGAGAATATAAATTGCTATGTGGTTATTTGTGACTTTGATCTTGCAACATAAATTTATTTATTCCTGCAAAAAACTGAATTGATTCTCTTTGACTGGTTTTATCTTAATGTTTCCAGGATCTTATTTGGGGTCTAAATTAATATATAGAAATATATAAGAAATAACAAAAAACTTTGATTCCTTATGATTCTAATATTGGTCTAGATCCATGATGGCGAACCTATGGCACGCATGCCAGAGGAGGTACCCAGAGCCCTCTCTGTGGGCACGCGAGCCATTGCTCCAGCTCAGCTCTGCCTCCCGCTAGTCAGATGATCTTCAGATCTCTGCTGTGCAGGGGCAGGGTGCATGCATGGGGGTGGGGTGCACACGTAGTGGGTGGGGCACATGCGTGGGGGGGCAGGGTGCATGCACAGACGAGATGTGTGCATGCGCAGGGAACACATGCACATGCATGGGGGGGCAGGGCACATGCTTGGGGGACGCACGCGTGGGAATGCGTGCGCCTACTTTGGGAATTCGGTGCCGAAAAGGTTAGCCATCACTGTCTAGATGTATCAAGTTGTTGGTATTTTTGAAGGCTGTAATCTTGTAGCTTTATTTTGAACTCAATGCAGTCTTTAGGTGTTGTTAAACAGTTCCAGGGAGATTAGTTAATAATATTGGAATTATAGTTAAGTAACATATGGAAGTCTTATTCCTCATTCTTCTTTTATAGCACTTCAATGTTCTTATTTTAAAGCAAAAATGGCATTTTAAAAATAATGTAGAATGTTCAGTTTTACCTTATACAAACGATATATACAGGGGTTGAAGAATTTATATTAGCATGTGTACAGAGTAGATTTGTTTTGCAACTTTAAAAACCTGATGAGAATTTTGAAAAGCTGTGACATTACAAGTCTGTGTATGCCATGTTACATAAATGCACAAAGCAGGTGTACATGGCAAATATTAAGGTTCAGGCTATTGGTAAATTTTAAGAGATCATTGGACAACCTGTGACCCATTGGATCTTTCTTCTTTACACATATAAAAGAGAGCCGTGGTGAAGCCTTTTCCTCCTCCACCTCCCCAAGCAGGCATCCAAGTTACTCCCTCTGTTTTCCCCTCACTGGCCACCATTGTTAAGAGATTTCAAATTTTGGCCTCAGTTCCAAAGCAGCCAATGGCTGCTCACTAGTCAGTCTTCACCTCTAGTTATTCAGTGCAGAAACTCAAGGGAGTCAGGAAAGAGGGTAGGATATACCTCTCCCATCTTCTGCTACGCAACCCGTGGTTTCTACTGGTAGGAAGTGTAGTCAGAAGGCATGGTAGAGGAGCTTTGCCAAATTTCAATCCCACAGGAGTCAGATTTTGGGTATGTTCTGTAAATTAGTCCATTTAAGGTATGTTGATTCAAAAAATGTTGCTCTATAATGCACCATTTTGCCCAGTTAAAAATTACAAAGTATCAAAATAGTCACAAGAATTTTTGTAGTGTATAGATTTTGATGTGACAAAATACTTTTTTTCTGTTGCTTGACACAGAACTTTTAGAGAGCTTTGAGAAGAAATACGAAAATTTTGTTTGATTCAATACTGAACAAATATCCCATAATGCAAAGTTCTATATTTAGAACTGTCATTTTAAAAGTGCTGAGTAACCTTCTTATTCAGCATGTACAGTAAAGTTATATAAATGCTGAGTTCATTTATATAAGGTTCATGTCCATCCTCAGCCATAGAAATTTACTGGATGGCTTTTGGACCAGTCATGATTTCTTAGTCCAGCCTGCCTTACTGGACGGGGTTGTTCAGAAATAGGAGGGAATGAAATTTGTTTTGGTTTTTTGCTCCTGGAGGGGGCGGGGGGGAATGTGGAATGTAGAACTAATAAATAAGTATAATTTTGAACAGTTTTGGTTGCTTGTAATCTTGCAATGATTAATGATGTCATTTTTCTGGCACAGATTTAAGAGTTTTTTCCTTGGCATTATTTTATATGCTTTGATCCTGCAGAGAAACCAGTTAGGTAAATGGGTCTAAAGAAAATAATTGAAGTTGATAAGAGATATGCCTGTAAATGTTTTAATTTCACATATTGTTTCATTTTGCATAATTTGGCTATATCTCCTACACCATGTAATGATCCGTATGTGTGATTTGTGTGTGTATGCCTTTGAGTCAGTGTTGACACCTGGTGACTGCCTGGGCTAGTCCCTGCAATTTTCTTGACAAGATTTTTTGGGAGCGGTTTGTCACTGCCTCCTTCGGGAAAGTGATTGGCCCAAGGTCACTGATCTGGTTTTGTGCCGAAGGCAGGAACAGAACTCATTGCCTTCTAGTTTTTATCCCAGTGCCTTAACCACTACACCAAACTGCTTATCTTACATGATGATAGCTACA